CAAGGCTGGTTGGTCAGGTGACATGCGCAACAGGTGGCCAAACCATTTTATCCTCTGTCTTTCTATGTAACGCAGGCCTCCACCTACAAACCCCCATAATCTTCCTCCACCCCACCCCCACTCTTCCCCAATCTACCCCCACTCCACACCTCTCACTAACTCACTCACTCACTCACTCACTCACTCACTCACTCCCTCACTCACTCTCTCACTCACTCACTCACTCACTCACTCACTCACTCACTCCCTCACTCACTCTCTCACTCACTCACTCACTCACTCACTCACTCACTCACTCCCTCACTCACTTCTCATCTCCCACCCTCCCCCCTCCCCCGAACAGCAATCCCCCACCGGCGACTGCGCCACCCAGTACGCCGTACAACCTATCAGCTCGGAGGGTCGCATCTTTGTGGGCAAAGTCAGGGACTTCGGCAGATGCATCGCCCAACCGGGATACTTCAAGTCCCCCTTCGATGGATACCTCGTGCACAACTATCTCAAGGTAAGATCGTGTAAGGTGAGGGAATAGAAAAACAGAAGATGAAATGAGATGAGTCAGGATAAAGAAAAAGATTAAAGAGATAAAAGAAGATAAAATGAAATGAAATGAGGTAGAATAAATTACTTCAGCTCGCCCTTTGAGGGCTACATCTTGTCGGATTACATTAAAGAAGTATAACGAAATAATAGTGTAAAAAGAAGATATGAGAAGATAAAATAAAACGGGCCGTGATCAAGATAAGGAAAAGTTGAATAGAGAAGAGAAAAAGAAAAGAGGCACGATAAAGATACACCAAAGAAGATAAGACAAAATAAAATGTGACGAGGCCTGGTCAAGATTAGGAAAAGTTGATACGAGAAAATTAATGAAACAAGATCTGATAAAGATAAGACTAGAGAAGAAAACAAAAAATTAGATCAAATGAATTATGGTTCAGATGAAGCAAATGAAGCTGAACTGAAAGTGAGATAAGATAAACTACTTCAAATTGCCCTTCTATAATCATAACTTACATAATTACTTCAAGGTAAGGTAAAGAAAGACTAGTTTTAAAAAATAGACAGTCAAACACGCAAAGAGAAAAAAATAACAAACAAGTAATAAATTATCAAACACATAACGTAAGAAATAACAAGAAAATAATAAATAATCAAACACAACAAGAAAGAAATAACAAGTAAATAGACTGTCAAATTCGAAAAGGAAGAAATAACAAACAAAAAATAAAATACGAGCACACAAGGAAAGAAATAACAACGCATTGTGAAAGAAATAACAAAAAATTATTGTTTTTAAAAACTCAAACAAATAAGTATAAAAATAGAAGAAGAAATAATAAATAGTCAAACAAACAAAGAAATAAAAAAGCTAACAACTAATAAACATGTAAGCACAGAAAGAAAAAAAGCAACAACAAACTATAAATACACATTTAAATACAAAAAAGAAATACTGCTGAACCATCCATCTCAACC